TGAAGATGCTGCAATACAACGCTCAAGCTTGTGATATCCTCTTGAACGGATTATGCCCCGAAGAATTCAACAAAATCAGCCGTCTTGAGAATGCAAAGGAAATTTGGGATACTTTGATTGGTATGCACGAAGGTACCGACTCCGTCAAGGAATCCAAATTGGATGTGCTTCAAAGTCAACTTGACAAGTTCAAAATGAAGAATGGTGAAGGTGTCGCTGAAATGTACTCTAGGCTTGCTCTTATCACAAATGAGATTGCCGGCTTAGGGAGTGAAGAGATGACCGATAGATTCATCATCAAGAAGATCCTAAGAGCCTTGGATGGAAAATATGATACCGTGTGCACATTGATCCAAATGATGCCAAATTACAAAGATCTCAAGCCAACGGAAGTCATCGGAAAAATTGTTGCTCATGAGATGTCACTCAAGGATAAATAGGAACTTCACAACAAATCAAGTGGTGCTTACAAAGCCTCATGTGAAGCCCCCACATCATCGAGTGAGAAACAAACCTTCAATGAAGAATTGAGCTTAATGGTGAAGAACTTCAACAAGTTCTACAAGAGTAGAAGCAAAGAGAGAAGATCCAAGTCAAGGTTCTACAATGACAAAAGATCTTCTAGTCGAGAGCGAAACTGCTACAATTGTGGAAGGCCCAGACACTATTCCAATGAGTGTACGGCCCCCTACAAGAGAAGAGAAGATTCTCCCAAGAGAAAAAGTAGAAGAGAAGAATCACCATCCAGAGAAAGAAGGAGTAGAGATGATCATTATGAACGAAGACCCTCATGGAGAACCAAGGATTCGGAAAGAAAGGACAAGTCATCAAAGAGCTACACAAAACGAAGACATCAAGCTCATGTTGGTGAATGGGTATTCGGCTCCGACTCCGACAACCACTCCGAGAGAAGCTATCACTCCGACTCCGAATATACTCAAGATGAAGGTGTTGCCGGTCTAGCACTTGTGACAACCAACTCCTACGCCATATTTGACTCACCAAATGAAGGAGTTGGAACATGCTTCATGGCTAAAGGCCCAAAGGCATCACACCCCGAGTATGTTGATTTCAATAGTGATGAAGATGACTTGTTAGGTGATGATGATTTACTTGTTGACAACTCTAGTGATGAATACTACGATGAAACGTCAATTAATCATGCTAATCAAGATAAAATGAATGACAATGATAAGGAGAAGATTGAGTCTCTAACTAAAGAACTAAACACTCTTAAGTTAGCTCATGGAACTATCTTAGGAGATCATCGAGAACTTTTAAGGACTCATGAGAAATTACACTTTGAAAAGCTCAACCTTGAGCAAGAGCATGAGTTCTTAAAAGCAATCAATGATGATCTTCGTAAGAAAAGTTCTTCTTACATTAACAAGCGTTTACTCTTATCCACTTACATGCCTCAAGTCAAGTCTAGTAACAAGAACAAGAAAGATTCTTCCTCTAGTAGTAACAATAATCATGCTAAATCCAATATTGTTGCTTCTAGTAGTTCTCTTGATTCCACTAATGATTCTCTTAGCCAAGTTACACTTGAGCAAGAAAATATCTTATTGAAGGGAATTATAGAGAAAAGGTGTTTACAAGAGCCTTGCCGGAAGTAAGCAATTCGAGGAAATTGTACGCAAGCAAGGAAGGCACCGGAAGAATCAAGGTGTTGGTTTTGAACGAAAGTTCAATGCCAATGGAGTTGAGTGGGAAGAAGATCAATACCCCAAGACGAAGTTTGTTCCTCAACAAGAGAAGTATGATCCTACTTCTCTCAAAGGGACACAAGCTCAAGATGATCTTCCACCACAAGACCACAAGAAAACAGGCAAGGACAAGCTTCAAGAGGAAATTGATGCATTTGAAGAAGCTCCTAAGGCCTTGGTCAAGTGGGTTCAGAAAACCCCATTCGGGCGGGTGCCGGGAGTGCCTCTTCAGAACCATGCCCAACCTCGATTCCATGGCGGTGGGCGGTCCATCTTCCTCTGACGCTCCAAGAATGCGCTTGATGAAGTGCGATGGTCCTCGGGGGTGCAAACATCAATGGTGGTGGTGGAATTTCCTTTGTTTTTTCTTCTTATACCTGTTTTTTTGTTAGTGTTGATGTCGGATTTCTATCCAGGACCACCCTTAGTTGATGAGGAGATTTCCCAAAGCCCTTACCTATCGATCTCTTGATCAGCATATTTATTAGCGAGCTCGAGGAACTTGGTAATATTCAGAAAAAGCAAGCAATGTCAAGAAGATAACCTAGAGCAGCTCCTTTTCACATCAGGGACCCTCTCAGAGGGATATGTGAAGATCAAAGTGGATTAGGGTATAGTGAGGTATGAACAGGCAGGCGTTGCGTGGCAGAGTGCAGAAATTCAGAAGTCATGTTCTTGGGGTCTTCTTCGATGGTTTTATCAAGTGTGACAGACACAACTTCCCTTGAAGAAATTGGGTGTCTCGAGGCCCTTGCACTGGCAGTGGACTTAGCACTACATAACACCATTATCGCTTCTGATCCTAAGGAGCTATTTACAGATCTTTCATGTTGTTTGGGAGGACTTTATGGAGCCATTGTAAGGGGGATCATCCTTACATTGTTAAGCTTTATGAAATGCAGCTTCATCTTCAAGGGTCAAGCCTCAGATGTGAGGCCCATAAATCTTGCCAAGTTTTCTCATTCTTTAGAGCTGGACAACATGTTTGGTTGAGTCAGCCCATGACCTTTTTTATCCCCATGTTGTTTAACCTTGATCACAAAACTTGGCAATATTTTCTAAAAAATGATTTTTCAAATGGTTTTCTCTTTTTATATCTATTTTTAAAATTTAGAAATGCATTTTCTAAAAATGTTTATGTAATTAAAATAAATCATTCATGTATTTAGAAAAATGTCCATTCCATTTTTAAATAGTATTCACACATTAAAAATTATTTTTATATAATTAATAAATGTATTCACTTATTTAGAGAAAAAATGGGCAATTTTAAGAAGTGTTCACGTAGTTTACAAAAAAGGTTTTCTTAATTAAAATGTCCATGTTATTATAGAAAATTTGTAATTTAACAAAAAGGAAAAAAGAAAAAGAAAAATCTGAGAGGAAATAAATCCAGGAACAGATCAAAAGGTAAAAAGGATTAAAATGATTTTTTAGAAGAAAAAAAGAAATGGAAGGAGGAGGAAAAAAGTTGGTACAACATAGGAACCTACGCCAGCAACATCAGCAGTCTCTCTTCTCAAGAACAGAAGAAAAAGAATAAGAAAAAGGATTGCAAAAAAAATAAAACAATGCAAAAGAAATATTTTGCAAAAAAATTATGTAACATAACCTATGTTGCAATGATAAAAGGTGACATTCAGTCGCTTAATTTGTCAGATCCGACAGCTCGCAAGACGGCAGATCTTTTAGTGCCCAAAGCGACACAAGAAATTCGGCTTGGTTGCTTACCCCCCAACGCAGCCGCATCGGCATCAACCTCCATACCGCCGTCTCCGAATTCCCCAATTCCAGAGGAGGCGAACCAGCCCTTGATCGGATCCCGACTCCGACTGCTGGGCGGAACAATGGTAACGCAGTCGGAGCCAGCATCAACCCATCGTCCTCCACCGCCCTCAACCATGGATTTATTCTCCACCTCCGCCTTCATCCGCCGCCGATTTTCTTGAACCCTTCGCCGGCTTGTCTGACGCTTCCGACGACGACATGGATAGTGCGGAAGATCGACCATCCTTGGTTGTGGAGGAGAAGGACAAGCAGCCTGTTCCCTTTAGCGACGCCCCGTCTCCAGTGCGCGCCGTGCTCAACCGTCCGTGGCCATCCGCCGTCGTCATCCGGCCGGAGGATAATCCGTACGGAAAGTACCGCACTCTGGTGGCCACCGCCAAGGACATTGGGGACCCGATCTCGCCGAAGGAGATAGCCGCGCTGGAGGAGAAGGAGGGCGACGACGCAGGCACACGGTTCTACAAGGCAGCTGCTCGGGCCAACGTCGTTATGAGGAATTACATCCATAAACACGGCAGCCTTTACATGGATGAGAATGGCAAGTACATGATGGACAACTCCGTCCAAGTTGAGGAAATACGGTAGCATCTCCCTGCCACTCCAGAAATTAATTATTCATGCATACTTGTTTGTTTTTCGTCCATGTCAAACTTTACCCAGCACTTATCTTCTGCTCAGTTTCCTCTTCACTTTTATGATCATGATTTGTTAGAACTTAATGGGTTGATATATAGTAGTATCCCGGAATTTTCCTTTCGGCAAAATTGATTCTTTACAAGCATTGGATTTGACTTACCATAGATCTGCAAGTTGTAGTCTTCCCCTATCAGCGGCTTTGACCAAATGCACACACTCTTTTGTTGCTTGACCTTGTACTAAGGAGCCATTGTCTTGCGATTGGCTCGAACTCCTCAATATGTTGAAGCTAATTCCTCCTGCTCTCCTGTACCGCTAATGGCAGTTAGATGCTACAGACGGTGAGCGATATTTGAAGCTTCCTCGCTAGTCAATTAGTGCGACCTGGTTGAATTGAACAATGCGGCTTATTGTCAAAATTGTTCAGCTTAATATGAAAGCTCTGCAGCAACTTAACATGAGCTCAAGAGGGGTGGTGACTGGAGCTCATTTTTTCTCTCCAGTTCATGCAGGAGGGTTGCGTGTAAATTGTACCAATAGAAGTACCTGGGGTTCTCATTTTCTA